ACTGGTACTCTTTGCAATATATCCATTCTCGTATGATTTGAGATCTTTTCTCCCTCTAGCTTCTACATTGATGACACAACAGCTGTTATGATGAGATGTCTAGATTGATGTGACTATTATCCAATGTACTGAGTGTTTTTAATCTTAATTTTCTCTTAAGCCGTGTTTTATTGAGGACATCAAGAATAGTCGGACCTACGGTGGAATTTCTCCCTCTGGCAACTTCACTATGACTAATAACAAAAATCTGTGGTATTAGTATTGTTCTCTAGGAATCTCTCCAATGTAATGAGCTACAATGAAGTGACTATTTTTGTCCTGTGGATATTTGGAAGGCTGTTTCTGCAAGTGAAGAATATTGCCGTTTATTGATTATTTTTGATAAACTTGCTATGCATGCAACTTTTATTTGATTCCAACTATTAGTTTTTACATTGTAGAATAGTTATCAAGTGTCAGTGATACTGCAGCGTCAAGATATATGAAATAAACAGGGTTTGTAATTTTAACATCTATAGGGCGGCCATTTTAAATAAAATTATTAACCCGTAACGCGCATCAACCATTAATTATCCGAGTGTTTCCAATCCCTGTATACTGTATCTATGGTAGGATTCACCCCAAACAAAATGGCTGCCACGACTTTTGCAGCCTTGCTATACTGGGAAAACGAGCTCCTATGCTTACCAGACTTTATAGAGGACCTTATCTTGACCAGAGGACTCCAATGGTACCCATAGCGTGGCTATAGACCTTTTCTGGGAGAAAAATCAAAAATTTGCAAACCGGCCGTTTTGTTCAGCCACCTTTTTTTCATCTTCATCATCATCATCAAGTTAGTCCTGTCAATCCAGTTGTCGGTCGATATATCTATCTTTCCTGGTGATAGAAGGCTAATTCTTACACCATTCTACTCCCACAGGGTATGCGCAGGTCCTTGTTCCCTAGAATCATTCTCCAAGAAAGGAAGAAGTGATACTGTGACTGTTGGATCGCACCAGCTTACCTCATGCCGCCATTTTGTTAATTAAATAAAGAAGCATGTGCTCCAAAAATTTGGGCGTGGTCGCGCATGCTCAGATCTCAGAACTGGGAACAGCAAGTAATCTTTTACGTAGCTAGGCTAGCTATGCTTGGAATCAAATTGCAATACTTAGTGGAGGTTTCCAGCTAAGAGAAGGTATTAATCTTGCATATATCAAGTGTGTAATGAATTATTTTATTTCAAAAACACAAAACAATTAATTAATGTTTATAATACTAATGATAATATGAACTTGACAACACTAGGAAGAACCTGCAGGAATAGCTACAGGATTGCTGGAAAGATAGAGCTTCTTGAACAAGGATTCACGTCAAGACTATAGCATTCATTTCACTTGTCAGCAGTGTAGTAGATATTCCTTCATCATATCTATTCAATTCAATCAGTGCTGTCCCTCATAAATGCTGTAAAATCATAACAATGACGACAATAATAAAGAAACTTATTGTTTGTGTAAAATCAAAAAGTATCACAATTGTAACTG